CTCATGTCCTTGCTCTACCGCTACCTCCCTCTCCCCGTCGTCCGCGGGGTTCAACTCTCCCAGGGCCTCTCCTTCGCCTTCTCCGCCGTCAAGTACATCCAGTTTAATCAAGATTTCGGTGGAACAAGTCAGCTGAAGCCGCTCCTTGATCTGAATGGCCTCTATCCTATCCCTCAGGACGCCCATATTCGCATCCACTCTGTCACTCGACCAACTGTTGTGGGCCCTGACCGTGAGCGGCCGGCGACGGCGTTCCAAGCGTGGAGAACTGCTGGCGAAAGAGAAAAAGGCTAAGGAATGAGATTTTGTCGCGAAAGAATTAGGAGAAGCTATATGGGCTTGAAGCATAATTAATGGGTGTTTTATTTATTTATTTTATAGTAAAAATGAGTTGGACATTAAACTAAATTAAATTTTATTTATTATTTTTTAATTGTCACATCACTAAGTTAACTGTTAACTTTGAGAGTTGACTGTCACATCAACCAAAGTTAACGGAGTTGGACGGAGAGTGACCAGGTTTCAGTAAACTGAAGTACCACAAATTAATTTAAATATTTCGAGTGACCAAACTTGAACGCTTTTTGTAATCTCAGTGACCAACCATGCAATTAACATAAATATTTATTCAACAATTTAAAATGATAAATGACCAAAATTATAGTAGAGCACGTGAACTCATTAATAAATCGACTTTAAATCGACTTTGTGTCAAACATGAGCCAAATTAGTAAACTAACTTAGATCAAACTCCATTGAATTCATGTCCGTGGCTTCGAGCTAATATCGGCAAATGTATAAAACTGCTATAAGGCGTGTAGTTTTCTGTAATTATGTTCCGTCGCGACTCTCTGCATATTAAGTATTGTAGTAAGTAAGTAACAACGTCATTGTGTATCTTTCGTGCCAGTTGTGTTTTATACTTAATTAATTTGTGCTACGTAATTGGAATCGAATGGACGGTCTCGTAATTAAATAGTTAATGACAGTTAACTTATTAATGTTAAACAAAGACGAAGAAGGTAGGTATAGCTTAATCTTTTGCCAGGGGAGGGCATCGCCAGATAATCTCTGAATTTTGGAAGATTAAAAAGATACTGAATCATTTTTCCAACCTCAAAAGGGGAAAATTCAGATACATCAGTCGATGTTAACTATGTGGTCGAAGTCGAGTCTTATGATTTCGATAGTTGACGCTTTAGCTCTATGATTATTATAACTAGGGTGGCTGTTTGATGTGGTTTTACCATTTTAGTTAACTGTGTTACATTTTTATGGTTAATCACCACCACATATTTTGAAATATGTTAACCATTTGACCTTGATCTCCACTGTGTGATGTCGACTCTAGTCCTCTCCTGCAAAGGCCAGCCGGTTGATCTCGTTGCGGGTTGAGGACACTCTCCGATGCTCAGGTTGATAAGAAGGTGCAGTTCAGGGGAGAAAGAGATATCAAGGAGTTGTGTAGATGGAGAAGGTCCGAGCGGAGAGTAATGAAAACCGCAAATCAAATTTTTATCCCTAATTGTAAGTGTATATACGATTTTGATTACACTCAACTGTATTAAGAGTATAAACAAAAATTAATTACATGCGAATGTGAATTTCTTCACTCTTTTAATCAACATTCACTCTAGGGATGACAAATCCACCATAAATCATGGGTATCCGCCCTTTCTCGACCCAAATAATTACAGGAATTCTCGCATTGAGCGGATACAGGAGTACTATATATGCTTAATACCCACAAGTAAAGTGGTGCGTGCATATGTGTGGGGATAGTTTTAGGTGCCCCACCCCACACCATACTCGCACCACGCTCATTTCATATTCTACACACAATCAATGGGTTAATTGCATGGTTGGTCACTGAGATTACAAAAAAAAAAAACATTCAAGTGTTACTCGAAATATTTAAATTCATTGGTGGTACTTCAGTTTACTGAAACCATTCACGTTTGGTCACTCTCCATCCAATTCCGTTAACTTTTACTTACGTGGCGGTCAACTTTAAAAGTTGACCGTTAAATGTGTGACATGACAATTAAAAAATAATTAAATAAATAAAATTTAATTTTTTAAATTTTTACCTCATTTCTAACTATTAAAAAGATAAAAATAAAATTATAAATTATTAAAATTAAGAACAAACGGGGAATCCTCTCTCCTCTTCTCTGCCGCCGCGTTCTTGGCCACAAATGTGGAATACTTTCTGAGCGATCCGGCGTTCTTGGCCTTGTATGCATCGCTCTTCATCAGCCTCCTGAGCCTCGGGACTAGCGCTCTACCGAGTCGGTCGGGATATAGATCCGTCGCGAAATCGATTGTTGGAGCCAAACAGAGAGCAGATCCAGCATGCGCGTTCAAATCATGCTCTGTGAACACGACCTCGCTCAGCGCCTTGAGGAAGGCGAAGGAGAACGGCGGCCTGGTGACCTTAGAGTAGAGGGAGGAGACGGGGGCGACGCACTCCGAGCAGATGGAGGAGTCGAGGTCGGGGAGGCGGCGAGTGACATAGGAGAGGATCTTGGGCAGGAAAGAGGCTCAGAAATGTGAGAGATCCCAATGAACCAGGGAGGAATCCCTAGAGTTGGTTGTGGGAGAGGTCCATAACTCCAAAGGTACCTAGATGGTTATAGTGAGCTGGTTGTGGTCGAGGTTGAGTACCGCAAGGAGAACGCGGTGGCTGAGAGGAGGAGAGAGAAGAGAGATTACCCATTTCTTCTTAATTTAATAGTTTATAATTTTATTTTTAATAGTTAGAAATGAGATGAAAATTTTTAAATATTTTATTTTATTATTTTTATTATTTTTAAATTGTCACGTCATAATTTTAACGGTCAACTTTTAGAGTTGACCGTCACGTAAGTAACAGTTAACGGAGTTGGATGGAGAGTGGCCAAACATGAATGGTTTCAGTCAACTGAAGTACCACCAATGAATTTAAATACTTCGAGTGACCAAACTTGAACGTTTTTTGTAATTTCAGTGACCAACCATGCAATTAACCCCACATTCAATTACATTTCATCTTATCTTATCTCCTCTCCTTCATCTTTTTAAAAAAATGGCAAAATTCTCCAAAATTTAAGAAAGAGCACAACTTTAAATCCATTAGGTTTAGTTTTCAAATTCCATCAATACATAAATGTCACTTTTTAACTCAAAATTTCCCACAAATAACTTACATATATTTTTTGTGTGTTTCTTATATAGTTTGTGGTTAATTTATGATGCACGATGTTTGATAAATATTCGAGCTCAAGAATCATATATGTTTTCACCTTAATTACGTTAAAATTTAAAACTAAATTGAATATTGATATTATATACTGGGTACTCTTCTCGCATCTGAAAAATGATTCGGAACTTCTTTTTCGAGTGAAAGCACAAGCACTTCGTTAAACAAAAAAATATCGCGGATGGAAGTATACCATGGATTGATATTTACACGGGTTTCCCCCTCTTGAACTTTCATTTTTTCCGGGAGGTTGAAGAGGCAAAAGGGATAAAGATATTCTGACATGTCTCCATTGGATGAGAAAAACTGTGAAAACGAGGCTAAAATTTTGTAAATTGAAAATGAGAATACATTTACGACAATCCACTTCAAACCCAACCAAACTACCTTTCACACTTTCCCCTCTTTGATTCCAATATTCTGTTTTTGTTCGGTTTAGTATCGCTAAGAATTCTTAAATAGTTTGTACCGAAAAAGGGGGAAAAAAAGAATTCTTAATAGTGTTCGCTGTAAACAACAAGGGTTCTTAATTTCTTATTCGACAATCATTTGTTCTTTTGTGCTTAAACATAAGATAGGTGTTTAAATCCCCATCTCCACCGTCTTATACCAAAATTGTTGGAACCAGACAAGCTCGGTTTCAGTTTGTACTTTGCATGCCTTTCCATGATTCCTTTTACATCAAAGCAAATGCAAAATGTAGTCCCAAATGCCAGAATCCATCAAATTCTGATAATGAATATACTAATATAGTGACTATTAATTTATTTTGGTGAACGGGATCATAATTATTCTTAGTTTTGTGTTGTTTCTAAACTATGTACTAACTTATAAAATTGGTAATCATTACGATATTTCTGTAAAGTCTTTGTGTTTTGAGAGATAATGTTTTTGAGTGTTTTGAAGTTGTTTATACAGTATTTTTCAAACTTTTGTGGCGGTGCAGCACGATTCCATGTGAAACATATAGAGTTCGAGTGCTCAATGACATGAAGGAGTAGATTTGTATGGTATTCATACGCAATATGACCAACTTATCTCGTATACTACAATTATGAATGTACAAATCTATTTATTCAATTCATGCATCTACGAATTTATGAATCCAATTCCATTGTCTATCTCATGAGTCATGACTAATATTCATTGTAGTAAGCACTTAAAAAAAAAAAGTTTGAGTGGTCAAATTGTAAAATGTAAATTAATTCTTTGTTTTATGGATTTATAGAGAATGCAATGAATATTCATTTGCTTTATAAATTTGAAAAATTCTGGTTATGAAAAACCTAATTTATGATGGATTTGAAAAAATCTATTATTTGTCAGGGATTTTACTTCATTAGATTTATTGGTATGATGTACTTTTAGCTTTACTCAAATCCTACCTTTAATCACAAAAATTATAAAGTCCACGAGAACCACGAATTCGAAAACCTTAAACTTCATGTACCCCCAAAAATTTCACTCACTTTAAATTTAGTAACAAACACTGCACTTTGAGAATTGAGACAAGTCAATAATGGATTGGATTTGAGACCAAATTCGTTTACCAAATAAATTACATGATTTTTGTTGGCAGACATCTACAGTCTACACCAAAGTTGGGCATGTTGGGCCCATCTTCTTAATGGGCCCAATGTTTGATCCGTTCGACAGACCTAAGCCCGAAGCGAGCGAGACTTGCGAGAGTGAGAGGCTGAAATGGAAATGTATCGCCCTCCGTAGCAGTAATACCTCGCCCTTCTGTCAAAACAGACCAGTAATACCCCCGCCGTTGGCCGTCTCTGCAAAAAAAAAAAAAAAAAAAAAAGAGTTAACAGTTGGCGAGCTCATGATCAAGGTCGGGTCCCTTCTCAGGGAAGTCTCTCGACTCTCTTCTCGCCGGCTCGCCGCTTTCTCTTCTTGGTCGAGCGCAAACTCTAGATTGGCCAGTTCCTCGGCCGATGAAGACGACGCGGAAGAGACCGGTGTTGTCGGCGGAAGCGGAACCGACAGCGAAACTGTTCGACGAGCGCTCACTGACCGGCGGCCGGACACCGTGATATGGGCGCCTCGGCTGGCTAATTCGGTTCAATTGATCGGGTCCGTGGACCGGCCGGTTGAAACTTTGAAGAGCCAAAAGGGCGACCTCGGAGCTTACACTACATTGAGAGTGAAGAACCCTTTGAATTCGAAGCAGCTCACTTACACGTTCGTTTTTCTGTTCTCTCTCGTCTCGGCTTCGTTTGATTGTTTTGTTTTTGCCTACTTCCATGAATTGCAGGGTTTGAACTTTGCTAGCCTAATAATGGTTGTTTTCCTTATGTATGGATTAGGATTATGATCGTGGCTTGGGGAGACTTGGCAGAGATATGCGTGAAACATGTGAAGCCTGGTGATTTCCTCTCTGTTTCAGGACTCTTGGGGAGTTATTCAAAGAGTGATGCCAAAGAAGGTTATGGTGGTCGAGAACCCAAGGTTTTGTTAAACCCTAATTTACAAAGTCTTACTGTGAATTAAAAGTTCGGTGCTTGTTGTTTTCCAAGTCTTAGACTGTTGGTTTCATGAGTTGTTGCTCTATAATAGCCATTTACATAATGGGGTTTAGACTTTAGAATCTGAATTGGAAGCTTCTAAGCTTCTTCGGTCTTTATCGGGTAATCAACAACTTCGCTTGACGAATGTGTTGATCCTTGTGTTTCATGAGTTGTTGCTCTATAATAGCCATTTACGTATTGTGGTTTAGACTTTTGAATCTGAATTGGAAGCTTCTAAGTTTCTTCTGTCTTGATCGAGTTCTCAACAACTTCGCTTGACGAATGTGTTGATCCTTGTGTGCTTATGTGGGGAGAACAATAACCGAAGGGATGCAATATGCTCAAGTAATGAGTGTCGATGTTGAGTCGTTATGATTAATGGAGTAGTGACTACACATTCAATGTTTCAAACTGCTACTGGATGCTTCTCTTTCAGAGCATTCCATTTTTCATGCTGTTCCTGTTAGATGGTGGGTGTGCAAGTAATGACGTTTCGGTTTTCTTTTGTGTAGATAATTGTGAGAGACTTGAATTTTGTCGACGTGTCGTTACATGGGAATCACCATACTTCCACAAAGCCAGGGGTTTGTGATTCAGAAGCACATCATCAGAATGATGAATCATCAGCAGCAAGTATGCTCCTTGGTGAAGCTTGTCTTTGTGTTTCCACCTCTTTGATTTCAACCACTGCATTTTTCTGTTTAATGCAGATGGCTGCTTCATTTGTGTTCTTCCTCCTCAAGTTTGTTCAATTTTCCCCTCTTATTATCTCTACTTGTTTAGTTGTTCATGGATGATATCTGTTCATCATCAATCAGGTAAAGCCGACCTGGAACTCTACCAAAACCATCTCTGGCAGGATTTCTTCCGCAACCGGGAGAGATGGTGGGATAACAGGACAAGCAAGAAGCACAATTGGTGGCCTGATTTCATTCACAAGAATACTCGCGAAGGACTCTGGCTGACTCCAGATGTTCCACCATGGGTGAAAGAACAACTCCAGCTGCTTGATTCAAACACTGCAGAGCAAGATCAGGGAAATGGTGCACAAGGAACTGACATCATGGAAGGTGGGTTCAAGAATGCGCTCTACTTATGGCAACTGCTCTTCCGTAGCCCAAATGAGTGGTGGGATAACCGGCTTGACAAGAGGAACCCGAGAGCACCCGATTTCAAACACAAAGATACCGGCGAGGCTCTGTGGATCCGACGAGATCATCCACTGTGGGTGAAAAGGCAGCTCGAGTTGCTGGATTCTAGGATGGCAGAAAGAGGGGAAGTGATTGATAATGATTGACGTGTTTCCCATTTGGTGTACAATGACTAAATCGAACATGGATCGGCATGAAAAGAGTCGTTTGTATAGGGTCACAGTCCCACAGATGGTGTTGGTCACTAGTGTACAACCCCCGTAGTTTTTCTTTAGAACATTGGAAAGCCTTACTTTCTCTCTTTTGTTGATGGGGTAGAGTGACATATTTTGATGAAACATTATAAAACGATATCAGGGTTTGTGTCGGAAAAAGTTAGTGATAGAGTATTTTGTGTTGAAATTGTGTTTTAACTGTTTGATACCGTTAAAAACAATCTATCCGTTTAGACTTCAATAGAGGTTTTCTTTACAGAACCATTGGTACCCATAATCACTTTCTTGTTGGGTTGACGTAGATTGAAATATTTAGACATACGAGCTGAAATAAAATATATGTAATTTTTTTTTTTTTTGGTAAATGAAACACTCATAATCACGTTCGAGACTCTCAAGCATAATAAAGCAAGTGAATTGGTAGTTAAGGTAAGATATCTAAACAAAATCATTTCTGATACTCACTTTTGGGCAATGTATCTCGTTTTGGTAGATTCTCTGGGCAGTAAATTTAGAAGGTGAACTGGCTGATGAATCATCAACATTATTTTCTTGCTATATATGACGTTATAAATAGCCCACCACCATCAAATCTGTAACAACGTACCAGAAGCCTCCTCCATTCGGGATAATAGCTAGCTATCCTCTGCTTTTACCTATAATGGATCTCCTTTTCATTTCTGTTTTACTTACTGCTCTTCTCGCCGGCGTTTCTGCCGCCGTCACCGGCGTACCAAACAACGTCGTCGTTCCCTTCCAACAAAACTACCACATCTTATATGGACAAGACCACGTTAATGTGTTTGGTGAAAACAACACTGTTCGGCTCTCCCTTGACCAAAGCTCAGGTAATGGGGATATTTAATATTAATTACAATTAATCGTGTTAATGTAATTAAGATTCATCACTAATCAGTGCTTAATATCATCTATTTATGGTTAAAGGGTCAGGATTTGGGTCGTATAAGAAATTTGCCTCTGGATTATTTGAAATGAGGATTAAGTTACCACCAAAGGACACCTCCTGTATTATCACCAGTTTCTATGTAAGTACATTGTTTAACATAAAATCCACTCATCATTAAAGAAATTTGAGGTTATATAACTAGACTAATTACCATATCGATATTATTTCTTTCATGGTCGCGTAGTTAACTTCACTTGGCGACGA